TGCAACAATTTAGTTTTTCCTAACAAGTCTAGTTGTTAAGATTTTATACAAATAAAGGCCATGTATGACAACCCCACAGCTAAAAGCATACTCATAGTGAAAAGTTGAAAGCTTTTTCTCTAAAATCAGGAACAAGACAAGAATGCCACTCTCACTACTTCTATTCAAACATAATACTAGAAGTCCAAGCCAGATCAGTTAGACAAGAGAAAGAAATAAAAGGCATTCGAATTATAAAAGAGGAAGTTAAATTGTCTGTTTTTGCATGTGACATGATCTTATATATAGAAAACCCTAAAGACTTCACCAAAAACTTGTTAGAACTAATAAATTCAGTAAAGTTGTAGCATACAAAATCAACGTATAAAAATTGGCAGCATTTCTGTACACTGACAACAAACTATCTGAAAAAAAAATCAAGAAAACAATTACATTCATAATAGCTACAAAAATAACTTAGAAATAAATTTAACTAAAGAGGAGAAAGACCTGTATGCTGAAAAGTATAAAATACTGATGAAAAATTAGAAGAAAAGACAAATGAAAGATATACTATGTTCATAGATTGGAAGAATTATTAATAGCATTGTTACTATAAAATGTTCATACTGCCCAAATCAATGTACAGATTCAATGTAATCCCAATCAAAATTACAATGACATTTTTTCCACAGAACTATAAAAAAAAATCCTAAACTTCACATGGAACTACAAAGACCCCAAATAGCCAAAGCACTCTTGAGCAAAAAGAACAATGCTAGAGACATCACACTCCCTGATTTAAAACTATACTACAAAGCTATAGTAATCAAAACAGTATAGTACTAGCATAAAAACAGATATATAGACCAACAGAACAGAAAGCTTAGAAATAAATTCATGCTTTATGGTCAGTTGATTTTCAACAAAGGTGCCAAGAACATACAATGGGGAAAGGATGATCTCTTCAATACATGGTATTGGGGAAACTGGATATTCATGTGCACAAAAATGAAATTGGAAACTTACCTCACACCATATAAAAAAAATCAACTTAAGATGGATTAAAGACTTAAATTTAAGACCTGAAACTGTAAAACAACTAGAAGAATACAAGGGAAAAGCTCAATGACATTGGTCTGGACAATGATTTTGGACATGACCCCAAAAGTACAGGCAACAAAAGGAAAAATAGACAAATGGGATTACATCGAACTAAAAAACTTCTGCACAGCAAAGGAAACAGCCAACAGAGTTAAGAGACAACCTACAGAATGGGAGAAAATATTTGCAAACCACACATCTGATAAGGGAAATGACTCAATAGCAAGGAAAAAAATAACCTGATTAAAAAATGAGCAAAGGACCTGAATAGACATTTCTTAAAAGAAGACATACAAATGGCCAACAGGTGTATGGCAAATGCTCCACATCACTAATCATCAGGGAAATGCAAATTAAAACCACAGTAAGATATCACCTCAAACCTGTTAGAACGGCTACTATTAAAAAGACAAGACATAACAAGTGTTGGCAAGGATATGGAGAGAAGGGAAACCTTGTACACTGTTGGTGAGAATGTAAATTAGTATAGCCATTATGGAAAACAGTATGGAGCTTCCTTAAAAAATTAAAAGTAGAACTACCATATGATCCAGCAATCCCACTACTGGGCGTATATGCAAAGGAAATGAAATCA